AAGCCTATAGGTGAAAGTGACAGTGATTTCGTCCTACCCTCATCACCATATCCTAAACTTCATCGCACGGTCAACTTTTTTTTTAGTGTTTTATTTTATTTTATTTTATTAGTCGAAATGATATGAAATTTGGAGCATGTGTACATCTTAGTGAGATGCACCTAATAAAAATATGAAAAAAATAATTCGTAAAATATAAATTGATGTTATTATCAGTATTCGATACTGTGTCACCTTAAACAATCCAATTAAGGCACACCTCAAAATTTTATCGTGTAATTTTGTCATAAAAAATTCTTAATATTATCTTAAAATCTATTTTCATACATAATTAGAAATTTTTAAAATCTAAAAATGGTTAAAATCAAGTAGATCTATAAATATATGAAAATCTTGAAAATGGACAGTCTAGATAATGTATTGCAAGATACACTATTTTCGGGACTCAAACTGTTTTTTTTTCATATTCATACATCTCAATGTCTAGATGATCGATCAGAAGGTTTTTTCAAAATTAAAACAATATTTCCGATATATTTTGGAGGTGCATATGTGATTCTACATTTTAAAGTTGCGACTTTATATAAACGTTTTCTCTTCATAGAATTAATAGAGGTTGTTATTCGTCAGCGCATACGATGTGTTAGGAAGCACTGAATCGGATTAGTATTTCACATAGAGCCGAACAACGGATTCTTAGCCGAACCAGGGATTCTTCTTCCGACCGGGATTCACACGGATTCTTCTCCGAACGACGGATTCTTAGCCGAACCAGGGATTCTTCTCCCGACCAGGATTCACACGGATTCTTCTCCGGAACAACGGAATCTTCTCCCCACCAGGAATTCACAGTGATTCTTCTCCTGCGCAGGATTCTTCTCCTGTAGTTACGATATTGGCTTGACGCATTTAGTCTAGCTTTTTACATTAATAAATATAAAATATCCCTATTTATTTTCTATTTATTTGAATTGGCCATTTGAATCCGGTTAGTTCTTGTTCAAAATTGGTGTGATCCATCATAATAATTTTATTTAATCAGTAGAACTTCCATCATAATAATTTTATTTAATCAGTAAAACTTAAAATTTCCATCTATATTAATTTTCAGTGAATTGGTTATTTAGGCGAATCATCCTATAATGGGGAATTCTAAGTTGCATTGTCTTAAACAAATACTTATCATTTTTGTTGTGTATGGTGCTACCTCGTGATGCATTTTTGTTGTGTATGGTGCTGCCTCCAGATGACAGAATGATAGTCAGGAGTTTTCCATTTCAACTAATATTAAATTGACGAATCTATTTCCTTGTAAAACTTGATTTTAATAAGGGAAAAGTTTTAATAGGGTTACAACTTTAAAATGTAAAATCATAGATGCACCACAAAAAACTATCGGAAGTCTTGTTTTAATGTTAAAAAAACCCTCTAATCAATCATCTCAACATCAAGATATATGAATATAAAAAAAAAAAGTTTTTGAGTCCCGAAAATAGTGCATCTTGCAACACATTATCTAGATCGTCCATTTTCAAGATTTTCATATATTTATAGATCTACTTGATTTTAACCATTTTTGGATTTTAAAATTTTCTAATTAGGTATGAAAATAGATTTTAAGATGATACCAAGAATTTTTTACAACAAAATTACATGTTATGATAAAATTTTAAGGTGTGCCTTAATTGGATTGTTTAAGGTTGCAACCTTATAGAAACCGCACCCTTTTAATAATGAGTGACTTTCAATTAATATTAAATTGACTAATCTATTTCCTTATATTCAATAACAATTGATTCGGGAAAGTTAAATTATCTCCCTATATAATAGAAATGGAAAAAAACTATATAAGTGCGACACTGTAAACAATCAAATTAAGGCGCCCCTCAAAAATTTCACTAGACATGGTTGTTTTGATGCCCAAAAATCCTCAAATTGATTATTTCGACCTTAAGAAGTGTGGACATGAGAAAAAATCAATTTCAAGTTTTGGAAATAGTGCATCTTATAACGCATTTTTTTACTGTCAATTTTCAAGTTTTTTAAGTGTTCATAGATCTGCTTGATCTACACTATTTTTTAAACTTTAAATTTTATAATCAAAGATAAAAAAAAAATTTTAGACCATCACAAAGATTTCCAGTACTAGAACAACATCATTCAATACTATTTGAATGTGCACCCTACTTTGATTGTTTAAAGCCTCAGCCTTATGCAAACCACACCTGATAGAGAAAATAGAGAAAGTATGAGTACTCGTACTAGTATTGCATAACTCTTAACTTTATAGAGTAGAACTAACTTTTATTAGAGTAGTGATACTATGAGACCCTCCCACACCCATGTGAATAGGACCCTAAAGCATCACCATTAAATTTTGACACAGATCTCTAGAAAAGTTATCAATAAACCCATTCACTCAAGTCTCACACCCATGTGATAAACTATGAGACCATCCCACACCCATGTGAGTAGGACTCTAAAGGATCACCATTAAATTTTGACACAGATCTCTAGAAAAGTTATCAATAAACCCATTCACTCAAGTCCCACACCCATGTGATAACTTTTCTAAAAATCTATGTCACATGGATGTGGGAGGGTCTCATAGTGCCATTACTCCTTTTATTATTAGGGAAAAGTTCATATAGAGCCGAGGCTCTAAGCAATCAAATTCAAGTTTACCTAAAAAATTTCACTAAAAGATGTTGTTTTGATGCCCAAATAGATTTCAAGTTTTGAAAATAGTGTATTTTATAATGTATTTTTGGACCGTCAATTTTCAAGATTTTCAAGTTTTCATAGATCTCTTGATCTACACTATTTTTGAAGCTTTAAACTTTATAAATAAAGATGAACATATGTTTTAAGGCTACCAAAAAGATTTCCAGCATTGAAATCATATTTTTCGGCACTATTCGAAGGTAGGCTCTAATTTGATGGTTTAGAGCCTAGGCTCTATACAAACCGCACCCGTATTATTATTGTTGTTGTTGTTGTTGTTGCCACTATGTTGGTCAAATGCCTTAAATCTTGCATACCAATAAGTCACTAGGTAGGGGTGGCAATAGGCAGGGTAGCCTGGCTCGGTTTGGCCAGCCCGGCCTAAAAAGCAGGTCTTAGGCCACAAAATGTGGCCCAAGGGCTGGGATAGGGCCGACAATCACTACACAAAGGTAGGGCCAGTTTGGGCAGGTCTGGGTCAATGCTCACCCAGTTAAGCCCAATCTACCCTCTTTTTCTTTATTTTTTTTCTTTTAATTTTCTCAATTTCACTTGGCTAGGTTCAGGCCAGCAAGGTCGAGGTCAGACTGGGCAGGGATCAGCCCTATAAAAACAAAGGCCAGGCCTTGCCCCACCCATTGCTAGCCCTAATGACAGTAGGAAAAGCTATAAACAACTTAGAGAAATTCAGAATCTACATAAGCTAAAGTGCCAAACCACTTGGAACCATTTGAATTTAACTAGAGAGCTGAATGATCCATGGAAAAAGTTTATATAGAGCCGAGGCTCTAAACGATCAAATGAGAGCCAACCTCAAAAATTTCACTAAAAGAGGTTGTTTTGATACCCAAATATCCTCAAATTGATCATCTTGACATCAAGATGCATGGACATAATAAAATTTGAATTTAAAGTTTTGAAAATAGTGCATCTTGTAACGCATTTTTGAGCCGTCAATTTTCGAGATTTTCCAAGTTTTCATAGATCTGCTTGATATGCACTGTTTTTGAAGCTTTAAATTTTATAATTAAAGATAAAAATATATTTTAAGGCTATCACAAAGATTTCCAACATTGAAACCATATTTCTCGAAATTATTTGAAGGTGGGCTTCACTTTGATTGTTTAGAGTCTCGGCTTTATACAAACTGCACCCCAGTAAGGATTCCAGTTTAAGATATGCGTGTGTTGGCTCCATATCATAACAAAAATATATGAATTTGCATGAAATTTTGAGAAAAAGTTTTAAGGAAAAGGCAGATTCATGTGACTTAAAACTAAGACAAGAACTGCCTAAGGGAAGTCATGCCCATCATGGCCTACGTCATCAATGGAGAACTTTGGGGAAATGGACTCCTCAAACATGTAATGGCGTATTAGGTTGAATCATAGGCCGAACGTCACATGAATTTACATGTAGTATTAGGGTGCAGACAAGGGGGGTATTTTCAGTACTCAGAAGATCTGCAATATTGTCTTTTGTCTTAGTTCAATGTACCACCCTTAGGGTGTATTTGATACATGGAGTTTTTGAGAGTGGAAGGGACTCTCCCACAAGTTATAAAAGACTGCTCTTCCATTAGTTTTTATGAAAGAGAGATCTTCCAAAAATAAACCTATTTTAACACTAAAAAAAACTGCATAGAAAGTCGTCCTTCCACTTTACAACCTCCACATAGTAATATCAAACATAGAAGTGGGACATTTAACTTCCACTTCCAAAAACTTCCACTTATCAAACATGCCTTAAAGATTATTCTATTCCCTACCGCAACACCTTTGATCATAGCCTCGGGCTACATTGCTTGAGCAAACACTTCCTCTAACGTTGAAACCAGAGTGGCCAATCCCCTATTCACTTGTCATTCTAGAAATGACATGATTTGTCACCCACCACGAAGCAACAGTATCTACAAAGCACAAATCAACAAGCGATTTTTTTATTTTTATTTTTTTGTAGATTAGTGAGGAATAAGCAGTTCTCGAATGCATCAATAGGAATGAAAACCTAGACCAGTAGCTAGGGTTCAGGTAGTGCTACCAGCACAACCTCAACCCATTCCTAACAAGCGATTATACCCCTCCAATGGGTTGAGATGCCTCAGGCCTACGCTTTGTGAAAACAAAATAAAGCCTCACTACAAATCCTCATCTAGAAAACACTTTCGGCATAAATCTCCATGTTGACTCTAAAATCAGATTCCAACACTGCTAATAAATTTTTAAAATAAAAAAATAGTATAGATCTTGCGTGTGAACACTTATTTTTTGTGCGAAATAGATGGTTTTGATAATTTGTTAGAATATACACTACTTTTAGAGCTTGAAATCTTTTTTTTTTTCCACAACCATAATGTTCAAGCTAAGATGATCAATGTAAAGGTTTTCCAATGCTTGAATTGCATGCAATTTTCATACACTACTTTGTTAGAATATACACTACTTTTAGAGCTTGAAGTCTTTTTTTTTTCCACGACCATAATGTTCAAGCTAAGATGATCAATGTAAAGGTTTTCCAATACTTGAAGTGCATGCAATTTTCATGTAAGTTATGAGGTGAGGCTTTACTATATACATAGGGCTGCAGCCCCATTAAATCAATTTTCACCAATCCACCGTTCTGGTCCTTCACTTATATATTTATGACTATCTCCACCAAAAGATGTCTTGGTTGTACCATATAGGGGTGGCAATGAACCCAGACTCAACTTGGGACCCGAGGGGTAGATCCGATCCGAGTCCACGTATAGATCCAAAAATTGGACCCGATAGGATAGTTTTGGTTCAAACTCTTGGACCCAAGCACTATTCGGGTCTAAATCCGGGTCCAATCGGGTCTTGTCCCCGTCCGTATGGAACCGGCCCGGCCCGTTGCCACTCCTAGTACGAAACTGCCCCAGCAACATTTGATAAGGAGTGGTTCATTCACTAGCCTTTGGCATTTAGATACCTATATCCATTACTCTCGGGCACATAGATCTTTTTGCCATCTTACCAGTGGAAATCTATTTTTTTTAGGAAAAACTGTTAGGACATATTCCCTGTCTGCAAGAAAATATGTAGCAGATACCTACTCTCAAGCCAAGATAAACTATAGCCAACTAAGTTTCCACTCAAGCCAGGTAAAATGCACCATTTTTGTTAAGCGGGAAAAACATCAACCTCTTAATGGTTCTGCTCCGGAATCTCGTTTTGGTGCTCCTAAAAAAGATATTTAAGAGATCTAGATTTTTAAATTTTTAGGATCTCAATTTCCATTGTTAAGGATCCAATTCCTATCATTGGAGATCATGATCCCAAAAACCAAGAGAATAGCCAAACTGATAATTTTCTCAATTTATAGCTAGTTAACAGCACAACTATACATTTAAATGAATAAAAGAATCCTAACTTTAAAGCTATACTATATATATCCTTCAGGAGAATGATCTTCAGGATTGAAATTCCTAAACGTCGAGATCAAAATAACTTAAACAATGGAAACTTGATTCCTAATACTAGGGCATCTAGACCAACATATGCATCGTACACTCCTAATAACATGAATTCTAGCCTCCGTTCCTACCAAATCGTGCTCCCACTCCTATCTCAACTACACTTGCGGACATTTTCAAGAATATCACTCACAAATGGCACCACAAATC